GGCTGCAATGATTACTCTGTTCTACATGGCACACTTTGTGTACTTTCTTTTGTGGCAGCACCGGGGATGGAACCCAGGGCCTTGTACATGCTAGGCAAGTGCTCTGCCACTCTACACTGAAGCACATCCCCATCTGGGTCTTTCTGAAACCCAAGATGAAAGACGGGACCTCTAAGTTTCCTACCAAAGAAACACACCTGAATCATCTGGACCGTGACAAACAGGGAAGGCGCCCGGGTTACCTCAGCAGCAACACTTGAATAAACAGCCACCCAAGCCAACTCTCAGTGCTCCTCAGTGAGTCTGTAGTTCTGGGCCTGTGGCACACAGCATTCTGGTTTACAGAAGGCAAAGACCCTGATCTAACCTTGAGGCAGTGCAGGCACCCTGGGTGTCACCTGATGGGGGACCCACCTTTAAAACTTCTCCTACCAATTAAGGTGACCTGTTTGCCTGTTCGCCTGCCTCATGGTGGAGTGGAAGCTTTGGCTTACAACACCCCACAGGCAGAACTTGGGGCTCCTGGAGAGAATCCTCAGCACAGGCCCCAGCTAATGGTGCAGACATGGGAGGCAGGGCGCCCTCAAACCTGTAGTTTGACATAGCTTTCTACCAGATGTATTCTGGAGAGAGAGGGAGGGGCTCCCACTCACCCCAGAGCTATGCACTCAGGAGTGCAGAGAGTCACAGGAGCTCCCCAGTTCTCACTCCAACACATTGCTGATGTGCACCTCAAGGGTTCACTACTGGCTGCTTTTAGTATGGGAATTAGGGGGCTGGGCCAAAGAACTCAGTGACTAGTAACAGATTAGACTTCCTCCTCCAGGACGCACAGACCCTAGTGCTCAGTTCAACTCATGCTTAACTGTATCTGTAAAATTCCCAGAGGAGCAAAGCGGACCAGCCTAACCTGGACCGGCTGTGACCAGAAAAAGCTTCTAGTTTTGGACTTGCCTCCCTGCACCAAGTTCTGCGGGGTCTACGTGATGCTTCTGAAAAAAGCAAAGACCCCAGGGACATGGGACCAGAGGGAGGGGATGCTGGGCTCTGAACCAGTCTGAGCTTGCCTCTCCACTCTGGGGCTGTTCACTTCGCCAAAGCAAATCCAAACCAATCATAAAAATGGTAAATTTAATGGATTTCAAACTTTCTGGTAGCACAGCCCATGTTTTTGGTCAAATCTTGTATAAAACCATATATGTTAAATGAGACAAATTTCTGGTAATTTTATAGGTTATCAGTAACATGAAATTAATGAGAAGAGGTTGATGTTTTGGTTCCTAAATTGTTGAAACATGGCATGAATTTTTTTAAAAAATTAAAATACAAAATTTCTATTTCCTTCAAAACAGCAGCTCTGGGGGCACAAGTGGGTGCCGCTAGGCAGGGTGATGCCGTGGCTCTCATGCAGCGTCCCGCACACCTGCACCCATGGCCGCCCAGGAGCTGCCGGACTGGCCCTCACCTGTGCTTCCTGATGTCCAGGGTGGTGTGGGGGGGCAGCGGTCCGGTGGCACTGCCATGCCTGGCTCTAGGGCTAAAGCAGGGGTGAGGTGGAGCTGTCATTGGCATTGCTGCTGATCTGCAACTCCAGTTCTCCAGGAGACAGGATGAGATGGGAGAGGTTGTTCAGGACCTCTGGGTGCCGCAGTGGCTGCATCTCCCCATCATTACTCATTCCAGGACGGCCCCGCCGTGGGATGGCACAGCCACCTGAGTGTCTCCCATGGCAAGCATGGAGCAGAGTGCCCCGGGTCCTGTGGTCTGTGTAGGCAGGACTATAAGCCACTGCCTCAGACCCAAAGCGTCTCTGGTCAGAGCCCGCTCCTGGCGGAAGAGGCGTAGCTGTGGCCACCAGGTGCTCCACTGCAGAGCCAGGGAAGCCCCACGGTCTCGATGTCTGGGCTCAGCCTACACCCAGCACTCCTCTTCAGCAGTAGGGGAGCTTGAGAGACCACCAGCCCCAGAGGTGCCCCACCCATGCCAGGCGTGGCAGAGGGAGTGAGGCTTCTCATGGTGGCTTCAGGAAGCGTCCCTCACTCTAGTCCTGTTTCATAGACTTTAGGAAGGATACCCGGGAAGATAATGAGCTCAGTTAAGGAGGTGGGTTGGCCAGGACCCTCAATTCGCATCGCAGCAATTCTGCTCCATTTCCATGGCTTTAATTTTTCTCTTTATGAATTTCTTAAAAAAAAAATCCTAATTAGAACTCACATTAATTTAATTTCTATAAATTGTATCCTGAATCACATTTGCTTCCTCAAAAAACAAGAAGTGCCTATAAAACACTGCTCAGACTTTTCCCATTAAAGAATTAAAAGCTTAGCTAGAAGATTTGGCTTGCAAAGCCGGCACCAAGCACTGGGCTGGACCAGGGATGCCAGCTCCCCACCCTCCAGCCAGGTCCCAGCGGCTGGCCCTGCCCTGCCCTGCCCTGCCGGCAGCCTCAGAACAACAGCACCAGCTCATCCCGCACGAGGGCTGAATTTAGTTTCATGGTGAGCAATAAAATTCACATGTTCTTTATTTAGTCCATATAATACACTGTTTCTTAAGAGTTCTTTTAAAATTAGATAAAAGAGCATATTAAATGGCAAGTGTATGAGGTTTCTCTTCATAAACAATGTCAAAACAAAAAGTTCTGGATTACAAAATGTTAAAAAATATGTTGGTACTTAACATTTCACTAAAGCATAAGGTTACAGTTATTTTCTAAAGAAAATAATTGTGCCACTTACCTATTTTTGCTGTTTCTATGAACTTTTTTATTCTGTACATACGACATTTTGTACAAAATATGAAGTCTACATTTTTATTACTTATTACCATAAAACAAAGATACAATGTATGTACAATATTAAAAGGAAGCCGTACTAAAGCCACACTAAAAAGACACTGGGAACTGTGACATTTCTGGTGTACAGATGCGTTTGGAAAGAGCGAAGATGCCACGCAGGACTTCATGAAGAAAAACAGTCACCAGTTTATTTTCAATGCAGTACTTTTGAGATCAGTTTGGTACAGCGTAAACAGTTCTCTCTATAATAATATGGAAGTTGAACAATCAGCACAGGGAATCCGAGTACTAACGAGGAAACTTTAACAGGCCAGAATAGTAATACTCTCGTCAAAGAAAATTAGTTTCTCTCAAAGCTGTTTTTTCTTTTCCCTTATTGGTGAATGTTTGTCTTCAATAAAGAGCAGAAATAAAACCTAGACCATAAGGTGAAAGACGTTCTTACAGGTAGAGCATTACAGTCACCCCGACGCTGACAGCTTGCTTTTCCAAGGGCAGAAGCACAGACTTCCCAGGAAGCTCTCACCAACACACTGGACATCAGTCAGGGATATCTGGGAACCTACCCGCTAAAGACAGAAGTTCAAACAATGGTATATATCAAGATACAGAAGACGCTGCTTTATACAATAAAAAGCACCCTTTTTCCTTCAAAAGGAGAAGGCATCTAGACATTTTTAAATCATAGATTTCATAATGGTACAATGGTAGCTACTTGTCAAGTTTCTCAGGAAATGCTCTCCTCACTGAGTGGACCGACTGGCCCACCTCCACCATGCAATGCTTTCCTTTCACGCTTGCTCTCGCTCTCAATCTCGACACAGGAATCCCCTCCCCCAGGCGAATTTCCTCCAAGACACAAGGAAACAAGCGCTGTCGCCAGTGGACTTTCAGGAATCCCGGAAGCACGCGCTGCAGCGCACAAGGAGCAATGTCTGATTTTCACAATCTTTTCATGGATACCCGAGACCATGAGTAAAAACAGATCCTAAAAGAAGCCACGTTTTATCGCTTATGCATCAAGACTTTTAACATTAAGTTATACATATGCCAGGGACAAAAGAAACTAGTCACTGCTTAGAACAGCGGTACACATCTCACGTAGCTTTCAAGCAGGATAAATAAGTCAAAATACTGGCCACCCTGAGAGAAATGAAGAGTAGACAAAGCATTAAGTTTAAAGGGTTTTCTCCTTGTGCTACTCAATCTAAAACAAAAGCTTAACCCATGCAGGGAGTCTGAAATATACAGCAGCATTTGAAGACGGATGAAAACTCAGACACTGTCTCCTTGTGAGGTTGGTGCCCAGCGCCAGCCCCCGAGCATCCTCAAAGCCGTGGACTGACTGGTCACAGCCTTGGCCTGTGGACCCAAGGGCTGCTTCTGCTTCTTTATACCCCGAGGCACCTGCAGTCTGCATCAGGCAAGAACTGGCTTGGTTCAAAGTGATCTCGCCCTAACTTTCTACAAAATGTGGAATTCCTAGACTATAATTTTATTAATTTAGGAGCTTGTTGAAGGGCAACAGTGTAAGTAGATGAAAGTTGATTCTCTGAATAAAAATACGAACACATAATTTTACAACTCCAATTCCAGTCAAGGTAGATAGAGAAAACTTTAAAAAATGAATCCCTTCTCTGAGCTTATTCTTGGAGTCCTGGTGCTGTACCGCAGACCTGGAAATATGGCTTTCGGTAGACGCAGGAGGGGTGGCTGTGGCACACACATCACTGACCACAGTAAGGGAAACCTCGCAGGTGCAGTGGCTGCTGGCCTGTCACGTCACTTCCCCAGAAGGCTGTGAAAATGTGAAAGCATGGAGCCATTTCTGTGAGATTAAACAAAAACTGCAGGCATGACAATCACGTGGAAACAATTTCAAAGGTTGTAGTCTTAAAAAATAGGCAATACTTTTTAAAACTGTTCCTCTGATTCAAAAAACATTGATGTTATCTTAAAACCACCTATTTTAAAGGATCACAGATTCCATTTGGGTAGAACATGAAGATGATGACCAGGGTGCTTTCCTAGAGCTCTGATTTTGTGAAACCTTCTTACTTAGCGCTGTGCTGGGGTGGTGATGACACAGTGAGGACACCGCTATCCACCCAAGCCTCGGCCACTGGGGTCTGAGAAGCCACCATTGTTTGAACTCCTAATCTGAGCTGAGGCAGACACACGTTATTGCCTACAGGACGGGGCTGGAGGGAGCTCTGATGCTGAGTGACTGATGGTGCGGCACGGATAGTATGGACTTTCTACAGAGCCAGGAGCGGGCAGCCCGCCGAGGCTAGCGCCCACTCTGCGAGACCAGCTCAGCGGCTCTGCAGTGGGCTTCCAAGGCTTTCTTGGTGTGGGGGTCCTGAGGCAGCTCAGACTTGCGGCGCGCAAGAGGACGGTCCTTCTTCGGATCTTTCTGTGCCTGGAATTAAAAAGGCAATGGCATTGGCTACAGACTAAGCTATCTGAGCACTGAGCTCGCCTCTGACTTAGTCAGGGGAGGGTTACGAGGCAAACAGGTGCCCCCACACGCTAAGGCCACAGCCAGGGGTGAGCCTCCCGTCACGGCTTTCCATCAACAGCAGCTCTTCCACCAGAAGAGGCTCATGATGAGCGGAAGGTGCCAGTGCGGCACAGGCACTTGGTCTTTGAAAATGGGCAGTGTTTGCAGAATTCGCCAGTTTCAGTAAATCCCATAAATACCCTCCTAATTCCTACAGTGGCATCAAAGCCACTCTACCAGTGGCTTCTGTCCATTACAGAAGCATTTCAAAAGCAGAAGTCTCCTTTGGAGGGAAATAAAAGCAGTGAAAAATATGTTTAAACCAGATCTAAATAGACTTAAGCCAGTCAGAGATCTAAAACCTCTATTGAAATTTTAAAAAAAGATTATTTAAAGTAAGATGAATTAAATGGGTCAAGTCAGGGGAGAAAACCTTTCAGCACTTAGAAAAACTGCATTTAATTATTTATATAAAAATTCCAAATATTGGGGCCGGGATGTAGCTCAGTGGCACTGCACCTACCTCGCAAGTATAAGGTCCTGAGTTTGATCCCCAGAATAAAAAACAAAAAACACCCCCAAAACCCAAAACGTCCAAATGTTAAGAAAATAAAAGACTCTCTTTTTTGTTCTATTCTCTTTCTGAAGTTTGGGAGGTTTTGGTTTAATTATTTTATTAAGTGAATCTCATCTATGCAGGAGGGCTAAGATAGCTGCATGGTCAGTGAAAGGTCCCTGAACACCCACTTCTGTGAGCAGGTGTTAAACAGTTGATTTCATCTGAAAGGGAGCCACTGCATCAACATCACTGTTTTAAAATGAGAAACCAGGGTCCGGGGACTTACTCAGTGGTGCCACTGCCTGACTCCCAAGCGGAAGGTCCTGAGTTTGATCCCTGGTACCAAAACCAAAACCAAAACCAAAACAAGGAACCATGCAAATCATCAAGGCAGAATGTATATGCCAGGAGATGATTGCCAATTATTTAGCAATCTTTTTAACTCCAGGGTCTTTCCTTTGTGTTCAGGGTGTCCATCAAAATGATGACAGTATTAAAGAAAATAAAACCAGGTGTGGAGGCACACACCTGTAATCCCAGCCTGTAATCTTGGGAGGCTGAGGCAGGAGGATTGCCACACGTGGGAGGCCAGGCTGGGCTACATAGTGAATTCAAGACCATCCTGGGCTAAACAGCAAGACTTTGCCTTTTTTGTTTTTTGAGACAGGGTCTCACTGTGTACTGGCCTTGAACTTGTGGCAATCTTCCTGCCTCAATTTTCTGAATGCTGGAAGACCTTGTCTTGTTTTTTTGTTGTTTGTTTGTTTTGCGGTATCAGGAACTGAACTTAGGACCTTGTACTGTAGAGGCAGGCGCAGAACCATTGAATGGAAGACTCTGTCTTAAAACAACAGGCTGGGGATTTGGCTCAGTGGCTCTGCTGCCTGCCTTGCAAGTGCATGGTCCTGATACAAAAAAAAAAAATAATCCCTTTGTATCGATTCCTGATGCAAAAAAACAAAAAACAAATAATCCCCCAAAACCCAAAAAGACAATAACAACAACAATAACAACAACAACAACAACAAAAAAGAATCAAACACCAAACCCTAAAGAAAATAAATTACCAGAGAAAACTTGTTGGAAGTGAATCATTGACAACAAAAAAACCCCTCAAAATAGCAACTTCTCAGAGATTCCAGATCTCTTGATTTGGGCATGGCATGTAAATGTGCTTCAATGAAAAATTTAAGGACCTCTTAAGTCATAAATGAAAAGCTCTCATTTTTGCAGAACCATTTTTTTTTAAAAGCAGGGTTCTTTGCAAAGTTATCTATGGAAAGAGCAAAAACATCAACGTTTAAAAAGAACCTTGTGTGATGGCAACATTCTAGGTGACTTCCAGAAATGTGTTTCAGCCCCACTCCTTGGCATGTAGAGGCCGGGCCTTGGTCTCTTCCCTGGAGGCCGCCTCAGGGGCATGGTGAAGGGCCACAGGCCCCTGGGGCTCTGGCCAGTCACTGTGCTCATGAGAGCACTTCAGCTGGTAGGGCAGGGTGGCCTCCAAACCACCAGAAAAGACGTGAAAGCCCACCCAGAATCTTACTTCCACTGTGCACTGCTGCATCAAAACAAAGCAGAGCAAAACCAGGATTTTTATGTACACAACATAACCGCTGAAACAGGCACTCCAAAAAGAATAAACAAGTTCACAGAGACAGGCAGCAAGTGAGCCCTTGGAGCTGGACCCAATGAAGACAGCTGAGCAAACCAACATGACCAGAGCTTGTGAAGGACAGGAAGCCGAGGGACACATCAAATTGGTTCGTGGAATGATTTTACAGACTACGAGAGGATAGCGAGAGAAACAGGGGTGCAGGAGGGGGGCATCATGCAGATGTCTGGCCTGGATGTGGGTAGGGGTGAGTGCGGGGCCGGCAGGCATGCTGCGTGGTGAAGGAGCAGGATGGTGCCTGCGGAAGACAGTCGCACCGCCAGGCTTACTGGTGGGGCTAGGTGCCGGGCAGGAGCAACTGCATGGTGTGGTTTCCTCTCGTAATTCAAACTTAACTCCTTAATTTGGGTCAGTGCGAATCAAAATTTGTTAAGGGACCACATTTCTTTCGCCCTGTCCCGCCCATCACAAGCTGGAGTGGCACAGGGAAAAGGGAAAATACTTCATGTACACAGGTGAGCTGTCAATCTCTTGCGGTGCTACAGCCTTAGTCCCATCTACGTACGTAGCAACGAGTACCTGCGCTGCCCACTTCCGTCTCTCTACACCTTCCTTACTTGTGCAGCTGACATTGCTTTTCTCGTGACCAACTGTTAAAAATGAGAATCATAAACATTTTAAATGTCTCTGACGTCAATGTCACTCACATCAAACTTACTCATTCTCTTGGGTGTTCTGTATAAAGTTACACGAATTTCTTGGGAAATCCAAGTGGTGGTTCTGACAGGTAAACCCACAGAACGCCTCCATGGAAGCCGGACCAAGTACCTTCCCTGGCATGGGGCCCTCTCTGCGGTTCCACCACTCATCTCTCACCCTGTCTTCTCCCACATTCAAACCACATTACAGAAATGTGCAATTGTTTTAGGAGAATAAAATTAGCTGAAAATAAAGTTGAAAATATTCAAATTACTAAATATAAAAATCTAACAGCTTGATTTTTAGCAGCAACTTACTCATGTCAGTCTAACCACCAACTTGTGGACATATATTTTTTTCTGCATCTTGGAATCTTGGAACCTTGTTAAAAAAATTTTTGCTGAACAACACTGTTTCTGAGAATTTCAGAAAGAGAATTCCAAACATTTTCAAATTAAAGAGTATACCATTCAAATGTTATACTTAAGAATCCACATTTCATAAATATCTTCATCTATATATGCTGAAATATAACTGAATTTTATTGATTTAATGAATTCTGTTAATCCATAGACATCTCTAAGTCCTGACAGTGGATAATGTCAATCTTCCAATTCTGTTCTTTTTTTCAGTTATTTTGGGTACTCTAGTCCTCTTGCATTTCTATAGAATTTTAGAATCATCTTGCCAATTTTTTTTTGAGACAGGAGCTCACTATATATTTCAGATTGGCCTTGACTGGAAATCCTCCTGCCTCAGCCTCCTGAGTTCTGGGATTACAGGTGTGCACCTGGCCAGTTTGCTAATTTTTTAAAAGAGGGGGGAAGCCCGCTGGGACCCTAATGGCAACTGTGTTCAATGTGGGGAAAACTAATTTCTCCTTGGCATCATCTTCCCACTCAGGTACATGTTCCGACTCAGGAACATGATCCACAGAGATCTAAAGGGAAGGTGGATGTGACTTCTGTAGGAATGCCAATTACATAACTATACAACTGAGTTATTTCAGGAATGACAAAAACAACAAGGATGCAAATGTGCCATATGAGTTCTCCCAGAAAAATCCCGTCCACATCTCCCTTTGGAGCTAGACGGGCTGAGGTGCGGGCCGGTTCCTTCTGTTGCTCACAGGTATCCTCCTGGAAGAGCACCTGTCCTGCTAAGGGCTGAGGACACAGGGCCCAGCCGGGAGGGAAGGCTGCACCGTACTGCATGGTTATAAACATGGGAGCCCATGGTGCCTCTGGTACCGGGTGCTGGACCCAGGGCTTTGTGCATGCTGGCCAAGCACTTCAGCACCAAGCCACATCCCCACCCCTTTAAATACTTTTATCTTGAGCCATGGTCTTGCTATGTCGCCTCAACCTCCCAAGCAGCTGGGACTACAGGTGTGTGTCACCGTGCAGAGCCCCACCTACTCTCAAAGGCAGTTTCATTAGATAAGAATGCTATTTTGGTCTGTGTTCTTGAGTAAGTTCTTTATTACAGAATAGGAAATAAATGGTAAATATGTCTCAGCTTCATCACACTGTGTACAGTTTATGCTTTTTCTAGCTTTAATTTTGGCGTAAGTTGAAGAATGTAACAAAAAGAAAATTCTCCAACCTTCAAATATTTAACGTGTAAGAAACAGGTTGCAGCAGGGCATGGTGGTGCACACCTGAAATCTCAGCCCTCAGGAGGCTGAGGCAGGAGGGTCACAGTGAGTTCCAGGCCAGCCTGGCTACACAGTGAATTCAAGGCCATCATGAACTGCACAGTGAGACCTTGTCTAATAAAAGGGAAAGAAACAGGTTGTAAACCATCAACTTCTTTTCAATATTGTATGACCCAGGTGTCTTAAAAATGAGCATAAGGTTACAGATTCCCAGGCATGCTTCTCCACAGAGTGAGCAATGCCCTGATTTGTTCAAGCGTCCGCAGGTAAGGGGCCAGCTGGCCTTGCCCATGACAAACTCGAAGTTGTAAAATCGAAACGGGAATCAAAAAAGTGACCTGTGTGTTCATTTCCAAAATGGTGGTGGTGGGCGGCACATGCCCACAAGCCCAGCACTCCAGAGGCAGGGGCAGGAGGATTGAGAGTTCAAGGCCAGCCTGGGGAACACAGCAAAATCCTCTCTTAAACAAAAACCAAACGAAACATCTCTTTCCAAGTTAAAAAAAATCAAGGAGGAAAATAACACCCTTTAAACAGAAGAGAGAAAAATATGCAGATTTTCATATTTTCGATGAAATCTATTCATTGCTAAGAATGATCTTCAGGAGGAAGGTACTGTATAGCCTCCAACTGAATTAGTTAAAAAAGTAGCTACTGATGTTCAGTAATTGTTCACAGCTTTCCCGCTCCATTTGCAGTATTTTCAAACTCTAAGGAGCTGAAAGAAGTATTCATTCCTGTATTTTTTATTTGAACCAGAGCTGAGGGATTAGCATGGCAGGAAGACACTGGGGACTGTGGCAACCACAGGGTCCCGGGGCTGTTCAGTCAAAAGAGGACACTGGCCGTGCCTGCGACCCCGAATTTTCTAGTAGCAATCGTACAGAGGTAAGGATATATGGGCACAGTAGTTTTATTTAACGCAGAATGTCCAATGTATGATCATTTTGACATATGGTCAACTATTAAAAACTACTGTTTTGCTCCTCTCCTCATACCGAGCCCTGGAAAGTGTGTCTGTGTTTACACTTACAGCACAGCCTGCCTCAGACTAGCACCGATTCAAGCGCTGCAGGCACACGTGGCTCGCAGCTGCCATGGCCAGGATTGGCTACACTGTGCCATTTTTAGTGCCTCATACTGTCTCATTGGCTGGGACATAAAATTTACTTATATCAAACAGAACAGATTTTAAAAAACCCTCTCTATGTAACCATGCTCCGAATGACACCAGCAATTATAAACTACAGGTAAAAGGGATGCACTACTAGCGTAGTTTCAGCCAACTCACTTTTTACCCTGCAGAATTTTAGTGCTGGGTGCATTCAGGAATTCTTTCCCAGGCCAAAGAGGACTAAAATTTGTACATCAGAAAAGCCAGTGTCCTCGGGCCCATTTAGGACTCCGTCTGTTTCCAGGTTCTTGAAACCCAGAAGAAACACAGGGTCCAGAGCTGCTCAGCCCAAGCGGGGACTCTGGCCTGGCCTGGAAGGCCTGTCTCTGCAGGGACTGACTCTGGGGGAAGAGCCATGCTGGGAGATGGACCCATAGAGCAGGCAGCACCCAGGCCCTCAGGGAGGCACAAGGATGCGTTAAGGATGTTAGCAGCTGCCACGGAGAACAGAAGGGAGCATCTCTGTGTCAGAGCAGAAGTAGAAGGGGTGCAAAGGGAAAAGCAAGACATTACTGCTCAGCTTCAGCCTTGGCTCAAGTCAATTTGAGTTTAAAGAATAGGTCAAAGTTAAGATTGTTATTGTGAGAAGGAGAAACACATTTGCAGGCACATATTTAATCACTAAAAATAGTTTCCAGTAATCTGACCACCTAGAAGACTACCAAAAACTGAACTCTAGCTTAAGGGAGGGCCGGCACATGGCGTTGCCTCCCGAGTGCAAGGTTCTCGGCAGCTGTGCAGCGGGCACCTCCCCGCCAGCTCAGGGCACTGTTACCTGGCGAGCCTCGTTGCTCACTGTCTTTCTCAGCATCTGCACATCTTCAAACAGGGGCCCATCTGTCTCCATTGCAACCGGCAAGCTCATGGTGCTGGCGTGGCTATACACTGTGTACTGCAATGCAAAGTGTGGAGTCACTCTCTGCAGGCGCGGCTCTGCACTGGGGTGCTCACCTGCTGGACAGACGGATATCTTCCCCGCCGCCTCCCCCAGGCCCTTGCCTGCCGGACTCGCCCACTGCTGCCTGCAGAACACCAGAAACCTGCCGCCCACCTACAGGCCCAGGGTCACTCCACGTCCCTCCGAGTCCGAGTCCAACACACTGCTGGCCTACGCTCACCTACAGCCTGCTGCTCGGGCTCCAGGGGAGCCAAACCCAGGTGACGGCAAGGCTGGTCCTGGGCTGCCTCATGGCCAGCACCCTCATGTCCTCCGCGGTCTCCTCCTTTACTCTCTAATGTCACCCTCAGGAGGCGGCTGGCCCTGCATGCCTCTCTTCCTTTGTCCCCATGTTTTCAGCATCTCCCTAACTTGCTCGAGACTGTTTGCCATGTCCGCAGTTTGCTGCTCACCACCTACAGCAATCTCGACCCGGATTAGTCCCGCGGGCCACTGCCCCCTACACTGGAGCTGCGGGCAGGGCTACTGCTCGCCAGGACCCTCTGCTCAGGGCCTGCCCCCCTGGCTCCAGGCGGGCCGGGCTGGTGAGAGCTGTAGGTGGCTCTGAGCAGAACAGAGAGGTGTGGCAACACAGGTGCTTGGCCACTGGCATTGGTTCTTCCTGTGCAGCAGGGACAGGGAGGGAAGGAGCCTGAGTGCCTGCTGTGGGGGGAGCCGTGCTGACTGCAGATACTGAGAGGACCAAGGCCAGGCCTCTGAGGTCTGGGGGGGCAGGAAGGGCAGCCGGGGCTCTACCCACAACCCAGCCTTGGCAGCCCAGACAGCACCTTAGCGGTGGGACCTCCGAGTCCCCTGGCTCCTGTCTGGCATCTGTGCTCATCTCTCGTACAGCCACTGGCCCAGGGAACCCTCTCGGATGCGCACCACACTTCTTAGCTCTACCCTCCTGGACTCCTGGGACCCAGCACACCTGCCTTTCTCTTCTGCCTGTTTCTGGGATGATGGGCATCAGCCCTTTCTGAGACTCTCACCACTCTATGAGCTTAAATCCTTCTTCGCAACTCTAGGGCCACGCCCTTGCTACAGCCAGCTTCTGGGCTGTTTCTTCTCCTAGCACTAATGGTTCCCAGTCCTCTGGTGCCACCTGCTCTGCCAAGCACCTCCCTCTCCTCCTGGGGGCCGCTCTGGCACATCCTACTTGCTGTGGCCAGCAGGACTTCAGAAACCCACATCTATTTGGGCCATTTTCTCTGGCTGGCTTTTTCACACTTGGGGGGAAAGGTCCGACTCTCCAGCCTCACGTGCAACACATGTGACCAACACCCCTCCCTCTGGCACCAATGCTGGAGCCTCTGTCCTCTCCCCTGCCTTGGCCTCACCTTGTACACAGCTGGCCCTGCCCTGGGCTCCTCACCCGGCTGCCCCGCACTGACATTCTTTCCTCATGAGTGTCTGAGTCCAGGCTCTAGCACTTACTGTGTGTGTTACAATGTTTCCCCTGGGCTCCCATCTCTGCTTCCTTGGAAACCTGCATGATTCAGGACACCCTGCACCTTGTCTTGGAGAGGCTCCCAGCAGATGGGGAGGTTCAGAATTATACCTCAGTGTGACACCCAGGAGACGGTGCCGAGATGGTTTTGAAGCCAGCATTTTGGCGCCTGTCTGCTCCAGGAAAAAGCCAGTGCTTGGAGCAGCTCCAGCCTCTCTGGTGCCAGGGAAAGGATCCCCAAGCAAGGCTGTGTGCAGGGTTCATAGCAAACCACATACTCACAGGCACAGGGGCCTCCTAAGAGACAAACAGGCCTTCATGCCCAGAAGGGACACGACCGCCCCTGTTGGCTCTGGGTGCCCACTGCTGACCCTAATGAAGCTCACAGAAGCACTTCATTCGTTCACATGGCTCCCATTGAAGTCAGGGCAAACAGCTGCTAGGATGTTACATGGTTACTTCGGGAGGGTCAGGAGAAACCTGTCTAGGTTAGAAACCTTCAATGTTTCAGGATTTCAAAAAATCATACTGTGTATGACCCTGAAAGATCATGATGAAGCTGCCTCTGTCCTCTAAACTGCTAAAACCAATATGACAAAGCTCTGAAGCCACCACCGCTCCTGCATGTCAACAGCCTGGGGTGCGCATTCTGTGTCCCCAGCATGGGAGATGCATGGCCTGTGACAACCATGCCACACTTCAGAAAGGCCTCTTGAGAAGGAGCAGAGCGCAGAGGGAGCCCCTGGGAACCTCTCTACCTCCAGGAAATATAGCCAGCAGGTCACTCCAACAGGCAAGTGTGGGCTGGCAGCCAAGTGCCACGCCCAGGGGCTTCATCCTGGCAATGAGCCATGCTGTGTCACCCACCAGCTCCACTGCTTCATGGCTGTGGTGTGGCACTGAGGAGAATCTAGGACGATTTCTCTCAGGAGAATGAAAAGCAAGTTCTTAGGCCCTATTTCCAGCTCTGAGGTGTTAACCCATGAAGTATTTTCCAGCTGCAGACACCATACATAGAGTCAGGGGATGCAGACAGATGGTCAACACAGAGACAGAGAGTGAGGGGGGAAGGGAGGACACCAGAGCTCCAATGCCATAGCTCAGTTACGTTCTCACCACAGACAGTTTATGGAGCAACCAACAGGAAGAAACAAGGTTACGTGGGCAAACTCAGGAAAAGAGCACGGCGCATGTTCAGAGAGAACATCTGCTGCAGTTGGCAGGGAGACCAGGCAACGGCCACACACCACACATGCTACGCAGTGGCCAGCTCTTCCTCAGCTGTGACATCAAGTTTTGGGGCATCAAGGACACATAGCTGAGAACATCATTCGACTTCCTATGGTTGATAGCTCTTGACTGCAGTTTTATCAATGGGAATACAAGCCAAATGCTGTTACACAGGTAACATACACTGTATATACCATTAACTTTATTAAGTGGCACTGTTGTTACAGGCATACAGAACAGGAAGACATATGCATAACAACAATGTTCTGATCATTTAGACCCACGTGTTTAAACCCAAAAGCCCACAGCAGCCCTGGCTCAGCCCAAGCGGCTCCTAGCCAGCAGCTCTGGAGGCGCGACCAGCTGCAGGGCACTGCCCCGATTTACTGTGGAGGAAGAGGGTTAGTGCTAGTGCTAGCAGGAGAATTAGGTTCATTTCAGGAAAGAGGGCATCAACTTCATACTTCATCTATTTAAAACTGAATTTCCTTTCTTTTAGAATTAACTTGTTATTAAAAAGAAAGGGAAACATGGTTTTACTATAGCACCTAAGACACAAGAGAAAGAAAGCAAGTTACAATTTTGGAGAGGTTATATTCTGACTTCCTTTTTACCACAGTATTTTTTTTTTTCTTTTTTTGGTACTGGGGATGGAACTCAGGTCCTTGTGCTTGCAAGGCAAGCGGGGGAACCACTGAGCTAAATCCCTGGCCCTAACACAGTATTTTTAAAATTAGTATCTTATTTAAAAATCAGAGGAAAAAAAAATCCATCAATTCTGTGGTAAAAATGTGGGTTAAAAAAAGTACTTGTACAAGAGGAGGATTACAAAGTTGAAAAGTATTCTTTTATTGCAGACATTTCCATATACAATGTTAGTGAAATCAACTTCCCTGTCCCCTGGTGATGCATATTCCTGTCTTATAAATATTCAAGCAACACCCTTGACAATTCATGTTACTGTCTTTTTTAGTACCTGGGGATTCGCTTTGGCTAGATTTTCTATTTTAACCCATGCTTCTTCTCGCTCTTTCATTTTTAGCTTCTCTCTGAAAAACAGTAAAATGTCACTTGTATTAGACATGAATCACAAGCAAGGGACACATAGGGGAGCACAGACACGCTCGGCACCACCAAGACGGCGGCCACTTCCAGCCACTCCGCACACTTTGCAGTGTAGCTCACAATGGACGCCGCGTGCAGAATGAGCTTAAGTGGCCAAGAGTCAGAGAAAAAGATTTAAAAAAGCAAAAGTCATACATATTTAACAAGTCTAGTGATTAAATTCTTCAAAAAAATCTTATACAAGTGAATCTTGTTTCCATCTTTCCTTTTTTTTTTCTTTTTTTTGGTACCAGGGATTGAACTCAGGTCCTTGTGCTTGTAAGGCAGGCGGCGGAACCACTGAATTAAATCCCCAGCCCTGTTTCCATCTTACTGATTATGTGCTTCTTCACAGATGATTTTTTTAGTATTTTAAATTTTTATTATTTTAAAAAATTAATTTTAGTGGTACATTTTAGATATACATAATGGTCGCATTCATCATAGGCTATTAGTACCTTTACGTGATATATTTTGCTTCTTTCTTTCCCCTTCCCTACCATCCCTTCAGCCCCTCTTCCCCTCCTTATTTACAAAAGCTTTGTTTCTATTTTTCCTTCTGTTCTCTTTTCACTGCTCCCCACCCCCAGTTCTCCTTCCCATCTGATCATTTAGTTCCTACTTCACAATATCTAGGAACTAGGAAGAGTGACATGGTAATTAATCACATGACTATGTTTCTGTGCTTATCACCTGGACCATCGCTGGGCAGATGGGGGCTCTGAAGTCCTCAAGACACAAAAGCAGGACCCTGATCTTGGTAGTCTGGCCATGCCCGGACTAGACTCTGAGGACACCTATGTTTACAGAGCTTGCTTGGTTAGAGTACCACATGCTGAAACAGAAGTTACACACACGATAACCTTTATATGTCAATCTCCTGATCTCATACGTGTTTTGCTAAGATGACCAAACTAGTACTAGAAGGGAGGGGCTGCCTAACTTTAAACATGTGCTCTTTGACAATAAGTCACAATAAAGTTTGAATTTGCTTTCCATGTACAAGAGCACCAGTTTTGCTTTAAAGTGAAGAATAGGTTTTTAGGACAATTCAAGATTAAGGAAAAAAAAAATCCTGGAAATAGTAGTAACTTACTTCAGTTTCTCTGCTTTAAACTGTTGGGTGCAGTCATCAAATAGTTTTTGGTTCATTTCCATGAAGAGTTTCAAGGCGTTGTATATCAAGCCATGTATTGTCCTGCAAAGAAAACCTGCAATAAAACTTGGGACACTGGACCATTTTGATCCTTCTCCCTCTCTCCCTTCTTCTGCCACAATCCCTTTCCTTTCTAAACTTTTTAGGCTACTTCATGTATCAAAGCCCTATATTCCACTAGTTTCCTTGGCTTGGTGGTGTGTGTGTGTACTGTATGGGAGCGACACTGAGGAGGGAACCCAAGGCTTTGCACACTGCTAGGCAAGTGCTCGACTCTATCACTGAACTGCATCCCCGACCATTTTAAAAATTTTTATTTGAGATGGGGTCTCGCTAAGTTGCCCAGGCTGGACTCAAACCTGCGATTCTCCTGACCCAGCCAGGATTACAGGCCATTTCTATTTTCTTGAGTTAGTCAAAAAATTCAGTAGGCTTCTGTCAGGCTACTCTGAGTTCACTGTCCTGGCTAGCAGTAGCCAGACCCGTATCTTGCTTAGAAACTGAATAAAAAGTGTTGAAACTTGAACAAATACAATTAAGACTGAATTATATAGGGGACAATAATGGAAACACTATTCCTTATAAATGTGAGTTTCTTTTCATCTTACTCATGGAGGACAGAACAATGCCAACAGTTGAGAGTGTGTCTCAATGGTAGAGGACTTGCTTATTAGCATGAGTGAGGCCTTGGGTTTGATTCTCAGCACTGTGAAAAATGAAACAAAACAAAACACTCCAAAACCAACAGAAATGAAAAAGAGCAAAACTCAAATAATGCCAAAGCAGAACTCTGGAAGATTGAGAATAAAATTATCCTAAACCAGCTCAGTCAAAAGCTAGCTCTCTGACAGCACACGTCCTAACCAGCCTGGGTCTGATTTGACTTTTTCAGTTACCAGCTCCACGTCCTTAGATAAAATCCTTAACTTTTGTAAAACAGGGAAACCAAGAGTAGCTACTACCTGGTAAGATGTGAATGCTGCATATGCTAACGTATGTGAAAGTTCCTGGAATACTGCTTGACATGAAGTGCCATAGGATTTGTTTAATGAAATTTAATAAATACATTGCTTGTTTTAAAAAACTCTTCAAAAGTAGCTGTCTGGCTCGAGGCACTTGGAAAGGGAGAGCATCTAGGAGATCCTGGACCCAGTCACCACCTGACCACACGTGAGAGCAAGCAGAGGCCACTCCACTCACAGGGTTTGGGCAATGACATAACAGCAGTTAAAAAAAAAAAAAAAAAAAAAAAGCAAGCAGGGCCGGGGATTTAGCTCAGTGGTTCTGCCACCTGCCTCGCAAGCTCAAGGTCCCAAGTTCAATTCCCGGTACAAAACAACAAACAAAAACAAACAAACAAAAAAGCAAGCAAAACCCAAAGAACTTTACTCCAAATCCTAACACTTTTAATCTACTTTATAATGAAACACTTAGCTATGACAGGGCAAAAATCAGTTACCAGTTGTGTGTTGCATAGGCTACACATGTACTGCATCACACGGAGAGAGCACAAGTCTGGGGCCTGTCATTACCTGCTGTGTTCACTAAAAATAGAGTGTGGTAAAGGAAATGCTGCTAGAAGTTGAAACGCCGACAGCCACTACTCCTACCCGAGCCGCATGGTGGCAGCTTCCACTGCTGCCAGCATCAGGGCTAAACCTGCGGCTCTGAAGTCAGTGCCAACACTCGCTAGGTGCCTGTCACACACCAGGCACCTTATAGACATCAGCTTTCTTGAATTCATCTTCAAACAGCTGAAGGCGGTGGTGATATAAAGCACTTCATAAATATTACTATCACCCTAATCAGCCAACCAACACTGTGGCAGGTACAAGAGGAGGAAGTGACTGAGGAAGACCTGGAAACCTACCCGGCCCAGGTCCAGCAGCCACGAGAGCCAAGCCTGCCCGATTCTCATCTGCCATCTCTGTTCTCCTGGCGCCCATGCTCAGGGGACTCTGGACTCACTGCTGGAGCTGGGCCTGCTCTGTGCTCCACTGTCAGACAGGAAAACAGGCCTGGTTACGGCCATGTGGCTTCTCTGGGAAGGAAGCAGGCAGCCCACAGTTTGGGGCAGGCAGGATAGGGGTGCTCAGTCCTCCCAGTTCTGCTTTCCTGTCTGCAGGACGAGGGCAGGGCTCCTCGATGCCATAGCTCTGCTCTTCCTGCTTTCAGTTGTCATTTACAATGAAAATATACAAAGGTGGGTTAAACCCCCAGTGCCCACATTCATTTGAATGATGTGAGTACTAAACACGGCCTGGCGCCCACAGGGACAGTTTCCTTTTAAGGTCTCTGAAGGTAGGCCCTGGATTGGCTGACTTCGACATCCTCCTTAGGTGGAGAGAGGGACAAAAGTGCATAGCTGATTCCACCCTCCTATCCTCAGGCAGTGCCTGCAGCAAGGCAGCTGGGAGGGGCCACTGCGGTCCTGCCAGCACTGAGACATGGTGCCTCCGCTCCACATTGGCCTTAGGAGAGGTCTGGAAGGTGGTGCAGACCAGGGGCCTCTGTGCGGATGTACATTGGGCGGGAGCACAACAGAAGGCCTCATGTACAACCACGCAGCCATTTAACTTAGAAACCTCAAAGAAATCAAAGTCATTTAAAAATAGATATTGACAGTTAAATTTTTTTTTTTTTTTTTGGTACCGGGGATTGAACTCGGGTTGAGTTCAAATCCATTGAGCTAAATCCCTGGCCCTTGACAGTTAAATTTTAATTCTGATTACAGTAAAGGTAAAACATGCAACATCTAATAACCAAGACAGACAGTTCCTTCTTTCTTACTTGTTCCAGTGGGTCTTGGAGTTGCGGTACAGGGATGGAAACATGATGGGCAGGATCTTTGCCGCGTTGTCGCTAATTAAGCTCATAATGTATTCATTGTTCCAGTAATATAGTGCTCTCTCTGCCACCTGCAAGACAGGGCACGATCTCGGGTGAGCATATTAGAGGTACTGCTACCTCACGTCTTATGGGACGCCAGCAAATGGGGCCATTACACCACATCAGAAGATGACAGTTATTTCTGTAAGTTCAGATATTTTAGATTGTAACCTTGAAGAGCCTTCAACACAAAGGCTCTTGTAATGTCTTCCCTAACAAGAAATCAAGAACACCATCATTCATTTCGCTATTCCATAAACATCTATGCTCACAACCAGCCTGGATGCTGGGGACACCGCACACCTGTCTACGCGTTCTCTGCTGTGACACGTGGGGTGGTGAATACAGGACGGGTGATTATCCGGTTTACTGGAGACCCGAGTCCTATGAGAGGCGGTGCACACAGTAGGAAGTGTGGCTTCCCCGTGGAGGCGGTGAGCCGAGCCAGGCCCCACATCACAGGCTCACACCGCCAGACAGGCAGAGATGCAGCACAGGAGGCCGGCGTTCCTGCCACTAGCAGGCTAGACTGCAATCACAGAGAGGGAAGTGGGCAAAGCTCAGAAACTGGGGACAGCTCCCCAGAGGATGAAAAGTGGGGAGCTTCCCAACATGGGTAAGCCTGCTGGAGGAGGAGGAAGGGGAGGGGGAGGGGCAGGGAGAGGAAGAGAAGGAGGGGCAGGAGGAGGAGGAGGTCTGAGAATGCAGCATACAGGCAAAAAAGAAAAAATGGCATTAACATCTTCTGGGATCCTTCCTTCCTTCTCTCTCTCTCCTTTCTTCCCTTCTTCCCTCCCTCCCCTCCTCTCTCTCTCTCTACTGGGGATCGAACTCAGAACCTTGCACTTACGAGGTAGGCGCGGTACTTCTGGGTTTTATGGTTTTTTTTTTTTGGTACCAGGGATTGAACTCAGGTCCTTGTGCTTTTCAAGGCAGGTGGTGGAACCACTGAGCTAAATCCCTGGCCCTGGGGTAATTCTTATTTAAGGGTTCTGTGCTTTCAAAAAGCATCCATCCATAAATAAATATACATGGAGGGAATATTTTAAGCTTGAACTAGAAAATAGAAGCCTAAGAGGCTTGATGGTGTTTTAAATTCCGCTTTTTTGGGAAAAATTAAGAATGAGCTGACCTACGTGTATGCTTCTGGAAGATTCTGGAATGTGCTTCATGAGTCCTTTAAGTAGCAGGAGCCAAAAGGACTGCACATTGGGGAGGCCTCAGAGGAAGGGTGAGGTGGCTCAGCGGTAATGGAGAGGGCCTTGGTGTCCCTGTGTGACCTCCCTGGAACAGGTCCCCCAGAGTGCCCGCTCATTCTTCCCTGGGAGGGGTACATGAGGGGACAGCAGGCCACAATCACTCACACTCCTTGCAGTGCAGGCACAGCCCCTTTGCTTCCCACCACAGGGTCCTATTCAGAGGATACTGGGTGAGATCACCTGTCCTGTGTTCTCTTGGGAATACACACACCATCACCTGCATTGGTAGCTACTTGTGCATCTGGGAGGAGGCTCCAGTTCTCAGAAACTTGACTCTTGGCACCCCGGGGTGCCAATCCCCACAACTTCTATGGCTGGTGCTCGTCCCATGAGTTCTGAAACCACAATTTTCCTGTTTTAATGGGAAAATGCTGAGGAATCTTAAGGTGAGACCCCTAGGGGCCCCCTCCAGCCAGGGGAACCGGCTCATGGTCCTGAGCTTGCTCACTCACAGGCCGCACACGGGGCTTCCTGTCAGACCCTCTGTGTCTGCTTTCCTGCCATCGTGATGAAGGCCAGAGCCGCTCACAGTCTGGGGTTGTGAACCTCACAGTCATGTGAAAGGAGGGTGCCAGTAGGTCCAGCCGGGAAAGGCCTGCATGTGTCAGTGCAGGAGTGAGGCTGAGGCCTGGTTGGGGTGAGGGAGCGAAGAAGCACAGTGGGAGCAACTCACTGGAGCTGCCCTCCACATGGTAGTATGGGAGTGAGAAGAATCAGAAATGCTGTTTCAGAGAATGTGAGGGGACCCATGCTCCTCAGATGTCAGAAATGAAGAGCTTATGAAGTGAGAGAACCCAGAGGAAGACGGTGCTCTACTGAGCCACAGGCCTAGCTCTTCTTACTGTGAGACAGGCTCTAGCTAAGGTGCCAGGCTGCACCTTCTGAGCCTGAAGATAGACAGCGTCACAGAGAAGATAAGCTTTCTTTAATTTTAATTTTTATATTTTGCTGTACTTGGGATCGAACCCACAGTCTCCAGCATCCAAGGGAAGGGTTTTTGTCACTGAGCTACTCTCCCAGACCTTTTTAGTTTATTTTGAGACATGGTCTTGCTATGTATCTCACGCTGGCCTTGAATTTACAATCCTCCTGCCTCAGCTTCTTGATTACAAGTGTGTGCCACCACGTCTGTTGAGAAGCCATGCTGAATCATTCTTATTAAGAAAAATATTTTCAGTTGGAACAAACAGGATATTAAAGTCTACCTAATGGGATTAAAGTTTTAGCACCTTGTTTTGAAGTAGAAGTAAAAACACGAATTTTACCTTTAACTTATATGAGAAACAAACCAGGAGCAGCTGTGCCCTAAACCCTTAACTTCCAAGTGAATAAGCGGAGTAATATAATCATCTCTCCCAGCTCACATACCTGGAAGTGCGGGCTGGAAACACACTTGGCTAACTGCCGGAACAGGGGCTCCATGATCTTCACGAATTCAGACGGCTCAATTACATCCAAAATTTCTTCTAATTCATTTAAGAACATGACTTCTTTTGGACTGTGAGTCTTTGGCCAGTATTTGAGAAGTGCCATGACCACCTGTGAAAGAAGCAGCACAGGCAGTGAGGCCCTGCAGGACAAGTCCTCCCCCCGCCGGGATCCACTGCAAAGCAGCAGAGAGGACCAGGGTCAGGAACCAGTAATCAGACAAATAGGTCTAATTTTCTTTGATTTTTTTGTACTGGGGATTGAACTCAGGACATTGCCCTTGTGAGGAAGGCTGCAGCACCACTGAGCTAAATCCCCAGCCCCAGGTCTAATTTTATATGGCCTGGAATCACAGTTTTTTTTTTTTTTTTTTTTTTTTTTTTTGAGATAGAGTCCCTATGTAGCCCAGGCTGACCTTGAACTCACAGCGATCCTCCTGCCTCAGACTCCCGAGTGCTGGGATTACAGGCGTGTGCCACCACGCCCGGCCTGGAATCATGGTTTTAAATGACATGACACATTCTTTCTGATCAAATGTCATTTCAGTAAGCCAGATCCTCTGGGTGTGAGGTGCTGGGGAAACCAGGGCCTGGTGTATGCTCAGCAAGTGTTTTACCACTGAACCATGTCTTAGCCCAAGTCAGTCTGTTTAATTAAAAAAGAAAGAAAGAAAAAAGACAAAAAATAAGCAGTTAGGTCAGAGGTGGTGGTGCATGCCTATAATCCCAGCACTCAGGAGGCTGAGGCAGGAGGATCACTCTGAGTTTGAGGCCAGCCTGGGCCCCAAAGCAAATTCAAGGTCAGACTGAACTACACAGTGAGACCCTGTCTCAAAAAAAAAAAAAAAAAAAGGAGAATTAGCAAAAGTAAGATCATACAGAGCACATGAATTCATATATGCATTCTAAGGGCCAGGGATTTAGCTCAGTGTTGCTGCTACCTGCCTCATATATGTGTTCTAGTGTGGAAACAGCCAGTTTTGAAACTGTTGGCAACATATACCTATAATTCATTTTTCAAATAAACCATTTGCATGTGTACACTCACACACACACACACACACACACACACAGCGTCTTCCGCTGTGCTGCAGGCTTGTCACAGAGCGACCAAAAGTGGCTGAGCCTCAGTGGGAGGAAACGTGGACAGGCCCACGCTGGCACGGGTGGGTGTGAGCGCTCACGAGCCCTGGAAGTGCTCTCTGTGGGGGACGCGGTGGCCACAGTGGGAACAGCACTGCTCAGTGTGAGCTGCCTTCAACCATACTGCGGTGGCCACCCCATGCACCGTATCTTCCGTTATGCCATTCGCCCAGGTGCCACAGATGGAGAGTTTCTGCTCAGCAACCTTTCCTTTTTCATTTGCTCCTCTAATTTCCAAATATCCTATTACAATCAGACAAGTAGAAAATACTGTTTCTGACTCATTGTAGAGCTTGAATATCTTCATTTAAAAAAAACCACAATGGTCACAAGCAGGCACTTACATGTGTACACATTTGCACAACACAGTTGCACAAGTAACATCAGTAATTTTGAAGCAGCTGTTCAGCCTGGGTGCAGCAAAGTGCGGGAGCCCCACCCTGCACCCGAGGCAGGACCTGACTGCCTTGGAGCCCTTGTGTGCAGGGCAGCTCTGGGGACAGGCTGGCCACTTTCACTCACGAGTCATTTTGGGCCTGGCAGATCTGGCCAACTCTGGCTTAGGGCTCCCCCTTAGTGGTTAAAAACAAGATGAGAGCTTAAGTAAAATCCTCTTGGAATAATTATGTTTTGATGCTTTTGCCATTTGGGCTCTTGAACAATCTTCTATGATATTGCACTGATAAAACTCCATTTATTTAAAAGTGCTCAGAATTTTGGCATCTGATATAAAAATCTACAAAGGCACTGCCTGAAGAATATCATTTAACAATTACCCTATGACTTGTAGCTCCAAATTAATAAACATTTATTTATTGAGTGTCAGAAGTACAGCTGACGCGGCGCTTGCTAACTCACTGCCTATGTTCACTTTGTCCACGTGGTTGTGGGAGGAGAAAGACGTACGCTAATCTGTGAGCTGTGCTGCTGGGAAGGTACTGTTTCTGCAGTCCAGTCACACACTGGACTTGTCCTCACACTGCCTGGAACCACGGCGCCAACGCCAGAGGTCTGAGCCACTTCTGAGGGCCATGGCAGCTCTTGGGGATGCTAATGCTGGGGACAAGGGCTGTATGCAGCGCCAGCCCGGAGCCCCTCTAGGAACTCCATGGGCTGCCTGTGCCCTGGAGGGTGGGCAAGTCTGAGTGGCCCACAGGTGCCTGACTCTAGCCCTCGGAGACTCTGCTCTGGCTCTCCTGGGAGGGAGAAGACCAGGCCTGAGGGTGAAGAAACACCACTATATTCCATAAGCTCTCTGAGAGCCTCTAATCGTTTAACAGTTGGAAATGCTTCATGTACCCAGAAAGCCTGAGTCTAGCACAATGTCCAAATGAAAAATATGAATTACAGGTTATAAAAGGGGTAACAAATGTCCTTTACCCCCCACCTTTGGTGGTACACTGAACCCAGGGCTTCAGACTGAGTTACATCCCTAGGCTTTATTTGGAGACAGTCCAAATTGCTCAGGGTGGCTGAAACTTGTGATCCTCCTGCTTCAGCCACCCAGAGTTCTGGGACTATAGGTGTGCACCACACACAGGTCACACTCTGCAGAAGTACCCTGAGCCTCGCTGACTCGAGGAGTCCCTTTGGGGAAGCCGAGGGCCACACGTTCATACGAAATGGGTGCCCACTCCATGAGAGCCCGCAGACCAGCATTCACCGCCGAAATCAGACAGCATGGTCTCTGTGTTTTCATTTATGTGACTTCTGAAGGAGGAAATCTACTGAGGTGAGGGCCTGAATACTTTTAGTGTAGAGCTGCTTTCTGCTGCCAGGGTGGTGCTGCTACAATACTTGTGCATCAGGAGCTGTGAAACCTGGTTCTGAGTGCACCTGAGCAGGGCTGGGCACACCGTGTGCGTGTCACACCACAATTCTGCGCTGGTGACTGTGGGCAGAGCCCTCCTGACTCCACTGCGATGGCTGCGATCACACTCTCATCCTCATGGGAGGGGTCAGGACTCAGGCTGGGGCACAGCGCTGGCTGCAGAGGCCCGGCAGGGTGACCGCAGAGAGGCCTGGTGTAAACAGGCAAACTCTTCAGCTGTCAGTGTGGGAAATGTGCACAGAAGAGTCAGCACACGGAAACAGCCCCTCCTGTATCTGTCTTTTCTTTGGTTTTTTACTAGAAAGACAGAAGTGGGGGTCACTGGAATTTCTTCACACACTACTTTCTCAGGAACAGCTCTCACCTTTCGGTTTGGAGATGTTAAATACAGACAGGGGAATCAGGGTATGTAAGCATGGAGGAAAATACCATCGAGAAAGACAGAAAATGCCATCCACCCCCAGTGGGCTTTTAAAAGTTAACACCATTTCCTTTTCCATACCTGAACAGTGCTTCAGTCCAGTAGAGAGGATAAAATGAGACACCCTCACTGGAGACTGGAGTAAGCCCTTGACTATGCTTGAGGCTGAAGCTTGATAAGGTCTGGTGCCTCCTCCGGGCCCCAGACCCTCAGAGCTGAGGCAGAGGCACCTGGAACCCAGCGGGGCAAACACAGGGCCATGGTGGGCCCAGCCCTCAGCTCTGCAGCTCAAGCCTCTGCAGGCTGGGGGTTTCAGTGTCTACACACAAAATGTAAGTGCTTGAAGAAAGCAGAGCTCAGAAGCTGGTACAACATGAGAATTCACTAAGAATTTCTCTGCATTTTCTTTACAAAAACTACAATCTTGTAAGAAAAATGAAATACATAAAATGGGACAGAAGGGACTCAGGAATTATGATATCTGCCTTTTCTATTAGAATGGTAACTTTTAAAAGAGGACTCACGTGTTTAAAGTGGCTCCTAACATTTTCGTTACTCAGTAATGAAAAACAAGCTAGTTTTAAAAAACAGGAGATGCATTAGACAGGTCTTTTCCTAAAGAAGAGTCACATCATCAGGGGTCAGGGAAGCACCCAAGCACAACAGGGCTGCGCTTCACACCTGCTGGGATGGCTATGACAATAACAGTCATTACTGTGAAAAGGGCAAACGAGCACAGGCGAGGACACACGACTGGGAAGCTGCTGTACTGCTCTCCAGCCCCACGGCAAACAGGAAGTGGCACCACGGCTGCGGGAAAGGATGCGGGAAAGGATGGTGGTTGTTCAGAAAGCTACAGGAGCACCTAACTTGGCAGTCCACTTCTGGAAGACACCCGAAGGAACTGAAAGCAGACTTGAGCACATACATGCACACCTGCGTTCACAGTGGCCAAGAGATGGGATGATGGACGTATGACGAGCAAACGGCCTGTCCACACGAGGGGACACCGTTCAGCCCTGACAAGGGATGAAGCCGGCAGCTGACAGACAGTATGCTGCGTGAGAGAAGCCAGGGACAAAAGGAATACGGCCGTATGATCCCATTTTCGCTGGGTGCGTGGAGTACTGAAGTTCAGCGGCAGAAGGTGAGTTCTGGATGAGCAGGTGCTGGGAGGCGAGGACAGGACGAGACCAATGGAGGGTAGTTTCTGTCTGAGATGATGCCGTTTTAGAGAAAGGCTGTGGTGATGGCTGCCCAACACTTGAGACTATAATCAATGCTACTGAACTGTACATTTAAAATGGTTAAAAAGGCAAATTTTATGTTATACATGAATACATTTTACCACAATTTAAAAGTTAATAGTGTAATATATAAAAAAAACTTTTGAACTGTACACTTTAAACAGGTGAATTGTAGAGTGCATGAGTCATACCTTAATAAAACTGATTTTATTTATTTTATTTTTTGGTACTGGGGATCGAACTTAGGACCTTGTGCTTACAAGGCAGGTGGCAGCACCAAGGAGCTAAATCCCCGACCCAATAAAACTGACTTTAAAAAGTGTATTTAAGGGCTGGGGATTTAACTCTGTGGTGCCGGCACCTGCCTTGCAAGTGCAAGGGCCTGAGTTTGATCCCCAGTATCAAAAAAAAAAAGGAGTATTTAAAGGCTTAAGCTGGCATGTGACATACCTGATTTTTGTTAATCTTGGCTAGCATAGCCTTTTGAAAATTTTTAATAAAGATGAAAATGGCAAGAAAATTAGAGATCCCAAACCAAATGGTAGCTCCCCTTCCGTCCGCTGTGACCCACTGATTCTAAGAGTGTTCCATCTACCTTGGAGAGACTTTCTGCTAATAAGCTTTTCTCAGTAAGACAAACTCTACACATCCTCCCTGCGACGCCCCTGCCTGGAGGGGATGCTGTCGTGCCAAGAGGAAGTGAGGGCTCCACTGCACACAGGTCGGGGCTACAGTTGAGTAGGTGCTCTGCACTCCAAGGGCCCAGGTATGGCACGAGAAGGTGCCAGCCTGCCACACAGACACTCAGAAAAGGGATCTGTGGGATGCTGTCACCCTCAAAGAATCTACAGCACACGACGAACTGACCCGCTCACGAGGGCTGCAACTCAAGATAAGAAGCTGCGTGGCAGCCTCGCGAAGCAGGTGTGCTGGATGCCCACACGCAGGGAAGCACACTGTCCACACTCGTGGCGGGGCAGCGCACTTACTGGCTCGGTGAGGGTGCTGTCCTTCTCCAGAAACTGCACAACACAGTACGCCAGCTGGAACCAACAGAAGGAGGAGCATTAACGCCTGACATCACCGTGGGACAAGCCCGTGAAACACCTTCTCCCAGCCAGACTGGCCTGATGTGGCCCAGCAGGTGCCACCTGCCCTGGGAAGCTCTGAGCCCGACTCCCAGGAGGGACCCTGGCACTGATGCTCAACCTGTAATCTTTCCCCATTAACTGGAGATAAATATGAAGGCAAAAAGAACAAAAGGAAACTAGGAAACGTCTTTTAGGCTAACACCACTAGCAAGTCAACCCAGTGCAGTGAGATTCTTCCTGCTGTCCTTTTGAAGATCAGGATGAGCAAGTAACCTAAGAGCTGAAAAAAGCGAATTAAAATCTGGTTCTGTCTTAATTTCTCAACTATTAATTCCTTTAGTACCACAATTAACATGGTAACAGACTGGTTGGGCATAAAAATATTACCAGTTAAAAGCAATCAGAGAAAATAGGTAAAATATATCCCAGGGAGCCAATGACTTGCCTAAGTCAGAATATACTTTCTGTCCTTCACCCTACACTGCCACCTCCCAAAGTGAGGCCTGGGGGGGGGGGTTGCAGTCCTGTGTGATTTCAACATGATGGGAAGCCCGCCAGGGTCAGGCTAGTGACAGCCAGAGGTGACAAACACATTGCCACCACTCAAGGTGGGAGCCTCAAAGCTGCAGAGTGCTGCAGTCAGCCTAACTAGGTCCTGGTCCAGGAAAGTGTCAAGGGGACCCCCGTCTCCTAGGCAGACACCCAACTAACCAGGTAGCAATCGCTTACCAGTGTAACTACCAACTTACCAGTGTAACTAGAGGAGATTCCAGCAGCTTCTAAAGCCTATTTTTTTTTAAACTGTGTCACAGGCCATTTCACTGGCCATGACCAACAGGCCTTTGTCTCTAGGGTACTGCTTTTAAATTTCACCGCAGAAAAGCTGTCCCCGGAGAACCTCCTGACTCCTTCAGAGCCGGCCAATCCCTTCTCTGGGCCAGGACTAACTTTACAGTTCCATATCCAGAGATTGCTCTGATCTATCTCTGTGCCCCGTGATTACTTCTGTCACCACCCGAAGCTCGTTATGAGTGACTATTGGAGCCCAAGCAAGTGCACACTCCCAGAGCAGCTGGGCTCTGTGGTCAGTGCTGCCTCCCTTACCTGGGGATGGTAGACACTCAGGGATTTCACCTTGTGCAAAGGCAGTAACACCTTTAATAAGAAAATCTTGTGCTCTTCTTTTAGTGGTAAGGCAAATCCATTAATTATACTGTGAAGACAGAATTTATTCAAAGTTTGAGTATTTATGCATTTTACATCATAATCAAATGTCATTTGTTTTTTCAGAACCCTGAGCTGCTAATGTTCACTGAATTCCCAAAGAAGCACAAGTGAAAAGTACTTGCAAGATATTTACTTCAGAACCTTGTTTGAGAAACAGTGGGTTAAGGGGCCTAATGTAAAATTGATAGCTTATCAAGTATAAAAAATAATAGCAAGCAAGAACTTTCTTTGGATGGAGATGATGAAAATTTTGAAATGTTAATTGTAAGTATATGTATAAAAAATCTATAAAGTCAAAGAAATTTGAAATGTTAGCATTTACTCAGCAACGCAAATGTATTATAATCTATTTGAATAAGTCTATCATATGAACCTTCCTATGTAACTATTTTTAACACTGCTCCTGAGGAAATAACTGGAATGGCATAGTTTCCATAGTAATGACACTGAGGTGTACGGTCTACCTGTAGAACTGTAGTGAGAGGTTTGTCCTTTGGTCCTTGGCCACCCCAGTGCAGAGACTCACCTTCCCAGTATTTCCAGTAATTCTGCTATGCCATTGTGATGCTCTGTTTCATAAATAAACCTAGAAAAAAAACCAAACTTGTCTGTGAGGATCAGACCCTGAAACAACATCTGGAAAGACTAAAATCCTCTGGATAAGAAAATAAAGCCTGCAAGAGGAAAGTGCAGTAGCAAGTGGCACAGGTCCTTGTGAAAACTGTCACGTGACTGGGGACAGAGACCTGGCCTTGCACGAGAGGCCCTGGGTTTCACCCCCAGTGCTATGCAAAACAATCAGAAATGAAAAAACAAAACAAAACAACCCTTCAGGGGGTTGCCCAAGGAACCCCTTGCTGGAACCCAGGAAGCGCCTTGAAGCCTGGAGCTGCACACACTGCTGGTGGAGAGCGTGTCTTGTTCAAGTTCCTCCTTTGGATTTTAATTATGGTATTTGTAATTTTTTGTTTGAATTTTGAGACAGGGTCTTGCTATGTGGCTGAGAACTCTCTACGTAGTCCAGGTTGGCCTTAAACTCACAGTCCTTCTACCTCAGTCTCTTTAGTGCTGAGATTACAGGTGTGGGGCACTGTGCGTAGCTCCCGTATTTTATTTTGAAACATTTCAAGTATACAGAACAGTGTTAAGAATTTTATTGTGTATACTCATGTTTCAGCCACCCAGGCCCAGTCATTTATAATTTGCTCTATTTATTCCATTATATATATATATATACCTTCTATCTGTCCAATAGTCTACCTAATTTTTTGCCACATTTCAACATAAGCACACGTATTCAATTTTAAAGCTCTTAACATTGTGCACAGTTGCTGCAAAAGCTAGATGTTCTCCCGTATACCACTCACTTTCACGCTGACACCCCATGTCCTGAGCTGATTCTCATGCGACTTCCGACGTGCCCATCTGCCCATACTCTCGTCCCCTTCCTCAGAGCAGGCTCCTCTCACTGAGCTCCTGAGCCACGTACTCCGCCCTGTGTCAGCGTGTCTCCCTCCAGACAGGGACAAGGACTTCTCATTATGGTGCTTGTGGTGCTAGGACCAAGCCTGGAATCTGCTTGATGCTTAAGACACATCTGCTGAAAGAACTGGGGACGAGGCGAAGGGGCAGGGACATGCCAGCAAGCAGGAAGACATCTTTCCCAGAAGGACTCCCTCAGAAACAAAGCCTGCCTGCCCCTCAGCCAGGCGTATGTGGCCCAGTCACCCGGACACGTGCAGAGGAGTGCTGTGAAGCCAGACATGTGCTGGGAAAGGTTCCCGGCAGCAGAAAACTTCATTCAGAGACAGCTCTCAGACAGAAGTGACTTTGTGAGGGTTGAAACATCTGACTGAAATTTCACAGTCCCTGTCTGAAAGAAATAGAGCAGTGACCTTAAAGAACAGGCAAACATTCTCAGACATGAGTAGGTGTGAGGACAGGGTCTGGACATTTCTAGGTCCCCGAGAGGCCAGGATACATACAGGGGCTATGGTTTCAACTGAGCCCTAAAGGTAGGTTTCTGACTGATTCACAAAGATGGGGCACAGAGGAGGAAAAAACTGAGGTCTATAAAATGGCGTGATGGAGAGAGGCAAGTAAGGCACCAAAGCCACTGGGTAAACTGAGACACAGCCCACAGACATCAAGACCACTGAACAATGAAACAGAAACACTGAGGTGCCGACATGGTGGTGCACGCCTGCAATCCCAGCACTCGTGAGCCAGGAGATTGCTGTGAATTCCAGGCCAGCCTGAGTTTGTGGCCAACCTGAACTACATAGTGAGGCCCCATCTCAAAAATAACAAGAACAAAACAGACAAACCAAAACAAAAACAAAAGAAAAGAAGCACAGCAGGGAGGGGCCCGTGAGAGAACAGGCAGCGAGGTGTGCAGAAGGTGCCTTCACAGGTACCTGAGCTACAAGCCACCTGGCTTCCTAAAACAATAGGACTATGTTCCTTCTGATCATCGATTCTTTTATTTTTTTGAGATAGGGTCTCACTATGTATAGGCATGTCCCACCATGCCCGGCTCTGATCGCCAATTGCCAGTTACTCTAATTCAATCTGAAGTAGTGCAAGAAAGGGAAAATGAAAAGGCTTTTCCAAGGCAAACTGGAGGGAAGCCATGGAGCTCCATTTAGGGCAGCCTCAGAGGTGTTCGCTAGCAGAAAAGGAACCTCTGGTAGCCAGCTGTACATGAAGGTCACCAGCTTTTCTTCCTGTGATATGCTCAGGAGCTCACACCAAGATGTGCCTGTCTCCTTTCCCACGTCTGCTGTCCCCGAGATTTGCCCTGTGACCCAAGGGGTATAAACGACCTGCACCAGGCCCAGCCGAACCCTCGACTCAGAGGATTGGTAGCTCCAGCGGTCTCCCTGCCAGAGGCAGCGGTGCCCTGCAAGAAGCTGCATGCTCCGATGCCTGATGCTCATGCAGCCCAAGTGTGTCACCCACAGGCCATGTGGACAGGGACCCCAGTGGAGCCACAGGACATGTGTCAAGTCCCCATGGACACCCCAGGCCTAGCAGACACCATGTCAAGGGGAACAGCCCGGGGCCCAGGGCAGGGCACAGGGTTGTGAGAATAGCAGATGGTGATGTAAGGCCTACACCGAAGACAGTGGGGCAGAGGATGGGACTCGCCTGCCCCACTCCAGCCTGCCCGAGTGAGGGTGGAAACCTCAGCACCCTCCGTGGATGAAGCAGCTCGTCCCAAATGCCTTTCTCCAAGGCACTGCTGCACAGGTGGAGAGCCCTCACCTGGAATGCTCAGGACCTGTGCAGTCTGATGCCAGAACATGCGTGTGTGCGCATGTACTTTTTTTATTTTTTAAATCTCAGGGATGGGACCCAAATTGATAACTGAAATTAATGTTTGTTTCATTTATGCCTTTTACATAAAGCCTCAAGGTAATTTTATATATTTTTACTATGATTTTTTAAAAATCAAGAGTACTTTTTTGAGACAGGGTCTTGCTCTGCTGCCTGGGTTCAAGTGACCCGCCTGGCCGAGCCTCCCCGTGGTTGGGGCGGAAGGTGTGTGCCGCACCTGGCTGTGCCTAGTCCTCACTGTGGCCTATCCACCGAGGCCAGGTGTGGCGCTCTCCACTGGGGCTGTGTCAGTACAAAGTTCCAACGTTTTGAGTGCTTTGGCTTTCAGTTCTGGATTTGTGAATCCTGAATGTGCAACCAATGCTAAGATTTTTTTTTTTTACATGAAAATGATGTTTAAGGCCAAAACCAATTAGAATCTAAATAATATGCTTGCTGTGGATGTACAAAGCAAGCTATTGTAGAAAACACTACTTAAAGAAAAACTCACAAAAATATCTCACTCTAGCTGACCCTTTAGTGCAGACTGAACTAAATTATGTGTCCTCCTTTAATGGAGTGTTCCACAGATTTGTGGTTCTGCTATCTCAACAAAACCCACTTGTGTTAGGGAAACAAAAACACTGCAGGCAGAGCTTTAATTTTAGGACTAAAAGGCCAAGATTTAAACTATACTTGTTCGATGTCATTTAAGCTATGTATATAATAACATAAGGACACCAGCCAAGTGATGATCTTTTTGCAGGAGGAACCACAGCACGGAGCAAAAGATTGGCACACACCATTTGGGAGAATGACATTGCTCTCTGACCATAGGTGGGGAGCAGTGCTCAGCCTGGGGTTCCTTCACATAAACGGGACCTGGGGGACTTGGAGTTCAAAGGAAACGCACACACATAATCAGAGGCTCTGGTGCCAAATGTGCTATTGGAGTGAAGATAAAGGGCCACAATCAGATCTCAGTGACTCCAGCTGCCAGGCCGGAAGGGACAGTGGACGGGCTGTGGCTCCAGGGTATGCAGCTCCCCACCCTTTCTTCCCGGGCCCAGTCTCTGTGACTAAGGAAGAGCCTGCCAGCCTATGCATGGCTGTGGCTGGGACCACGGGTGCCCTGGCAGGAATAACCTGGTTCTGGGCCTGCAGCTTGACCACACAAAGCTCGCACACTTGTCTCACAGCGGGATGCTGCCACTGTCCCATCACTGCCAGGATTTGTCACTTCCTTGGGCCGCCCTACAGTCAGTAGATGTCTTAGAGACCAGCTGACCTGAGAAGCCAAAAACTGCAGAGTAACTGCTCACCTGCTAAGTTCCCAGGGACAGATAGGAGCCCCATGAACTACTCCCACCACCAGTACCCACTCTGTGCCACTGTGGCATATGACAGCACAGCCACATGGGAGGCCGTCCCTGTGGAGAAGGTGGTGTGCCCTCCCCGGCAGACAGGCGGGAAGCAAAGGATGGCCCAGGTGGGCCACCCCAGAACAGTGCCTGGAGCGAAGGAGTCTGGGTGTGGGCAGCAGTGGCCGGGAATGCTGCGCCCGCCATTCAAGGGGCAGCGGAAGGCAGGTGCCATCCAGAGATGCAGCAGCGTCAGAGTGTGGGAATGAACGTGCCTGGCTGGAGACAGAGCTGGGGCAGGAGGAGGGCGGTGTGTGTGAGCAGGAGGTCACGGCTGCGGCCTGCACTGCACTCGGAGTCTGGAGTGTCCTTTTGGCACTGTGGGCTGATGGCTCAGGGACAGGCATGGTGCTGGGCAGCTGTCCTTTCTGCCTCCAGCCTCCATGGGGTTTCGTTTCCAATGCTGAACTAGAGCCCCCACCTCAGATCAGCTCCCATCTCCCCAGCTAAGGCTGTCACTGCCCTCTGCACCCACCTCACCCTCACACTCTTCCATGAAGAGTGAGGTAGCTACAGGTGGAAGGCATGGGCTATTCGTGGAGAGTCAGTTCCACTGCACTTCATGGCAGTGAGCAGGACCCTGGCAAGATCCGGAGGGCCAGGATAGGGGACAAAGAGGGAGGTGGCCCGACGGGGGTGGGGAGGGAGGGATGGAGCGCTGGCCTGGCCCTGCATAGTGTAACCTGGGTCCCTGTGCATGATAAGCAGGCTGTCAACCCACCCTCCAGGGCCCTAAACCCATGCCAAGGACACAGGACGACAATGCCGCAAGGGACTTACCTATAAAATATATTATTTATCTGTTTCCTGATGTAAGCTCTCAGGCCTAGGAACTTCCCATAGATTCTGTGAAGGGTGGTTTTGAGAAAATCTCTCTCTCTTGGATCCTCGCTGTCAAAGAGCTCTAAAAGCTTCGAGAAGAAAGACAGACTCAGTGATGCACACCAGTGCTCTGCAGCTCACGGGCTGGCCATCCCTGCTATGTGGACTTACCTGCAACACAAACTTCTGATCAATATACTTCTTTGCTATATTAGGCTGGAAATCTGGAGACTCTAAAAATCTTAAGAAAAATTCATAAACAAGCTAGGAGGAAAAAAAAAACAATGAGTCAAACAATGCGGCATTTTATCAATTGGAGATTAGAAGCTGAATTTTTATTTGCCTGAAAGTACTAGGCTTTAAAAAAAGCCTCATCTCTACAAAGTTCATGCTGAGTTATGTGTCTTAGCTTAATTAATTATAACTGGCAATGGCAATTATTTTATTAAGGCCCACAGACCATCCCTTGAATGGCATTAAACAAATGTCTCCCATGGCCCGTGTCAGCCATGCTCCCCCTGCTGCTCAGAGCTTCTCCCAGGCTGTGACCAGCACTGGACCAGGACCGACAGCCAGAGCCCCCCACCCAAGTGTCCTGTAGCACTGAGGTGCAGAGCAGCAGGCAAGCTCCAGGGCCTGCCCAGAGACGGGTATGTGGGTACAGATGCCCACAGCCCCAGTGACTATGCTGGGCTGATGCTGCAGCCCATGGGTCAGGACATGTAGAAAATAGAGGCTGCAGGGATGTTGGGTCCCTTTCCCTGGCTGGGGCACTGCCTAGTTCCGGTCCTGTCTCCCCACCTCTTTCCTTGCCTTCTTCAGTGTGACCAGTCTTCCCCCTTTGCACACTTGACACTGCTCTGCTCACACTGCCCCACTGTCTCCTAACCAGTCACCCTTGTGCCTCACAGAAGGGTGGGGAAACGGTACAGTCAGCAAAGGTGAAAGCCATACTGAGGACAGGGCATGGCTGCTGTACATCCTAGGCCTGGCTGCAGGGGTTACCCACACTGCAGAGAGGGCTCCCAAAGACAGACGACACTCCTCATCGGGTAAGTGTGTATAAAACACACACACACACACACACACACACACACACACACACACACACACACACACACTCTTCTGCTCTAACCTTCTCTTGTGTATCTGACTTAGCCAGTTCTGTGCTACTCAAAGTCAGGCCACTGGGCTGCAGATGAAAGTGGGACCTGGGCCCAACCTGGCTCCAGGAGCCCTTGCTGGGGTCCTGCCCTGGGTCTGCCCTCCAGGACCAGTACCTGCAGATGAGGCCAGGCTGCTTCTAATGTTGGTTCGTCTTCCTCGGGGTCAAATTCTGCTCCCGTAGGGTTGGAGGAAGGTGGCAATGTTCGAAACATGTTAACTGCAAACTAAAATTCACAGATTCTATGATTACAACCGAGACATTAAAATAAATTTACCAAGAACATTTTAAAAAATATTGAGTGATTCTGACAATAGTTACTTCCTATGGTATAGTGGCTTGTCCTTATTCTCAAAATCCAGAAGCAGCGCGGGTCCCCAGAGGGAGCTGAGGTCAAAACTGTAGCAGGAAACAGATCACCTAGGACAGGTGGCCACCTAGCTGACCACGGAAGTCATTTTGGTGCTTGACAGTCATGATTTCCAAGACAATGACACCAACAAATGCTGCAGGGTCCCACCAGCTTCAGGGCCTGTGCAGCATGGCAAACTGGCTCTGCTTTGCCCAGTCATGCCCCTGAGCTTGCTGCCATGCCCAGCCATGAGGTGCGGAAAGGGCCTCCTGATCTACGGCTGTCCTCCTTCCAAGCCATCGTTCCTTTTAATACAAAGCTGCCATTTGCTTGCAAATACTCTACCCGGAAAACAAACTGAGGCACAGGCTGATCCCCAGAGCCGGACCATCGGATACAAAAACCAAAACACAAGGTATGAATGAAAAATTCAGTGAATATTTAAATTAGAAAACTTTATTATAGCAAAAGATACATTGCCATTAATCCCCTTCAAAACCATCGCCCTTGTTTCAAACACACTTACCCCGTTGTTCTTGCCACTTTCTGAAGCAGTTCTGGATGTCCCAGTACATGAGTGTCTTCAGTTGCATTGTCATAGCTGCCTTGACATCCTGAATTGATTCACAACTTTTATTTTTCATGGCCATTTTGACTCTGGGGAGGAGCCAGAAGTTGCACGGTGCTAGATCTGGGGAATCAGGTGGAGGAGGACCCACTGTGGGGTGTCTACAGGCTGGTCTTTCTGCTGGATGGCAGGTGGCAGTAGACTCACCACATTTCTGACCACACCTTGAAAGCACTCATGGAAGTAACTTCTAGAACTGCTTCAGAGAGTAGCAGGGATGATGAGAGAAGTGTGCATGCAGATGGGGACGATTTTGAGGGGGGTTAACAGCAATGTCTTCTATTGCAATACATTTTTGAAATTTAAACATTCACTATATTTTTGACCACATCGCGTGCAGAGAGGACAGCAGAGACCTCTCCATGGACACTAAGCAACTACCCACTGTGTCGGCAGGAAGCCCCACTGATGGAATCTACAAAGCCCGGGAGCTGCATGCACTCCTGAGGATGGCTGGCCGCGAGAGAACCTCACAGGCCTCCTACGGCACTGTGCTGGGGCGATGAGGCAGAGCCCAGCCCCAGGCACTCACCTCCCTCACTGGGACAGAGTCCCAATGTGGATCTAGGTGTCACCTCGGGGAAGGGAGCCCTAGGTCCTCAGCCTCAGATGCCTGCCAGGGCAACAGAGCCCTAAGTCACCTCATTAACTGCCACACCCAGCAATCACTGGAGGGCTGTGGGGGACACTGGACCCCAGCTGCAGCTCTGGTGGCAATGGGACTATAGTCCTGCCCCTGCCCGAGCTCACGCTCTTCTGTGCCGTGCCGCTGCACACACTTTCTCTGGAACAGTCTCACATCTAACTGGTCCGCTGGGTGACTGTCACTGACACCACCTCCCCTGCCCCTGCCCCTCATGGTACAAGCACGGAGCAACACGGAGCAACATGGAGCAAACATGCAGGGAGCAAGGACGGGACCTCTCTGAGTTGTGCCACCACTTTCTGCATGGCCAGAGGTGTTTTCAAAGAATAAAATTTCCCCTCCAAACAGACGCTGGGATAGGACACAAAAGAACTACAGTGAAAATTCTTACTTTGAGTAACTTGTTATTTTTCTGACCCATTCAAATGCAGGCTGAGTACCCTGTCTGAAATGATCCAGACCAGAAGTGTTTGGGATATTTACATAAACAGAATGAGCTTGGTTAGGGACCCATGTTTAAACAGGAAATTCACATGGTTCAGGTACACCTTATATAACCAGTCTGAAGGTTCAATAAAAAAATTATCCATTAAAAATTTTAACTTACATATACACATATTTTTATTTTCTTTTTAACCTGAAGGAATTTTTTTTTTGTACCGGAGATCAAACTCAGGACCTTGAGCTTGGGAGGCAGGCGGCAGAGCCACTGAGCTAAATCCCCAGACCTGAAGGAATTTCTCCTTCCCTTCCCCTTCCCCTTCTCCTTTCTTTTCCTTTTTTCTTCTCTTCTCTTCCTCCTCCTTCTCCTTTCTTCTCCTTCTTCTCTCTCCTCCTTCTCTTCCTCCCCATCCCTCCCTCTTTCCCTCAGTGGTACCAGGGCCTTCACACTGAGCTACATTCCCATCCCTTTCTAAAATTTCTATTACGAGACAAGAGTCTCTTTAAGTCACCAAGTTACCTAGGCTGGGCTTCAATTTGCAATCCTCCTCTTTCAGCCTCCCAAAGTGATGGGATTACAAGGCTGTAATAACAGTTCTGGCGTTTTTTTGTGTTTGTTTCTTTTTTTTTTTTAAATTTGTTTTTTGAGCCAGTATCTTGCAATATAGCCCAGGGTAACCTTGAACTCTAGATCCTCCTGCCTCAGCCCCCTGAGTGCTGGGATTACAGGTGTACATCACCATAGCCTGATGACCTAAAAGAATTTTATACAATATTTTTAGGGTATCTCAATTTTGACTTTAGCCAGCCACATGAGGTTGGAGCAGAATTTTTCACTTCTGGCATCATGTTGATGCTCAAAAAATTAAGATTTGTGTTAATTTTGGATTTTCAGATTAGAGGTGATCAACCATACATTCTTCAATTAAAGTTGAAGATGTATATGAATAAAAACATACAAAATTTCGTAGGATACTTCAAAAGAATTTTAGTTGCAACTTGCCAAACAATGACTATCTTAATTTTTATGACTATAACTAAATGTATCATACCATCTTCATATAAGCATGAAAATGTAACTATGTGTAGGAGTTTATTTTTAAACTTTTGTTTCTGAGTTTAGGAACAGAAAATCTATATCAGATATTATTTGTAACATTTATAATCAGCTCAATTACTGTCATTTAAAAATAACAGTGGAGAGGCTAGGGATTTAGCTCAGTGCCACAGTGCCTGCCTGGCAAGTGCAAGGTCCTGAGTTCAATCCCAGGTATTTTAAAAAAAAGTGGACCTAAAAGTATAGCTTATTTAATGTAGGTCAAAGGCTACCCCCCCATCAGGCAGGTGCGCTGTGCCACTGAGCTACGTCCCTAGCCCCCCAAAGGCTAGTTTCTAAAATTTAATTTAATTTTGTTTTTTTTCTGAGACAGCTTTTCCCTAAATTGTCCTGGCTGGTCTTGAACTTCAGAGTCTTCTGCCTCAGTTTCCCCAGTGCTGGGATTATAGGCATGTGCCACCATGCCCAGCCAGTTTGGCTTTTTATAGATTCTGAATGCTGTATTTTCAGTATTTTATTATAACAATACAATAGCAATATAAAAATACTGAAAGAACTGTAGGGGGAAGCCTATCACTTAGTTTTTACTGTCACCACTATTTCTGCTTTATCTATATTTGCTTTATTACATAAATTGATTGCTTTTCGGAGTAAAATGTGAGAAGGTGTAGGAATGCTTTAGAGTAGCAGAACAATATTCCCTCTCCCACATGATACAAATGTATGGTGTACACACAGCCAGCAGGTCCATACCATGTGCCCCCTGAGCACCAGTTACAATTTGTGCTAGTAGTTTCTAATCACTACAATTTTATAGCCATTGCTGGTTCACCTGTGAGGATGGAGGTGTGTTTACTGAGCAACTACTGCAGAATAAGTAAGCAGAGTCTGGCACAGTAACAGGTTTAGCCCACTGCCCAGAGCCAGGTGGAGATGTATGCACCACATACTGGGGTGTGGTGGAGGCCAGTGATCTACACGACTGGTGCCCCATTCTTGCCCTGCAGGATTCCAGGCCAGAGAGCTCCGTGAGGTCCCACAGGAAAGGGTTAGGGTCTGCAAGGCAGAGTCCCACAGAGCAGAGTGCTGCCCTTGCAGGTCCGTGTGGTCAGCAGAGTGCCAGGTGGCAAATCTATGTGAGAAATCCCCACGGAGGGGAAGGGGCAGTGAGAACAGTACAGTTGGCCTCTGTATCTGTATGTTCTGGATTCAGCGAGGCCCGAAAGTATTTGGGGAAAAAATTCTATGTGTACTGAACCTGCAGACTTTTTCCTTGTCATTATTCCCTAAACAACACAGCAGAATAGCCAATCACCCAGTACTCACACTGCATTACATGTAAGTAATGGAGCGATGACAATGTACACGGGAAGGTGTGGATGTAAACACTATACCATTTTTATAAGGGACTTGAGCACCCTGAGATATGGGTATCCAAGAGGAACCCTGGAACCAGCTCTCCAGAGAGGCTGAAGGAGAACTGCACTATCCTAGGGATGGGAACAGGGTCAGTCTTCACCAGCCACACTGGAAAAACTTGGAATTCATGGGCACTAGGTTCACAACCAGAAGGGTCTTGGAGTCAATGCCCTGCTTAACGCATCTTAAAAAGCATGAACCAAAGGTATCAAACTGTTTCTAAGTAACTTCATTGCATCCTTAATTGCATCCTCAAACAAATCTCCAGAATGTTAACAGAAATAGTATCAGCAAGGCACAAAAATCCACAAGGCCAGGTATCTAGTTACAAATTACCAAACAAAGAAGCAGGAAAATATGATTTATGAGGACAGGAAAAACCAATCAATTGAATTAAACCAGAACTGACACAGGTGCTATTAGGATTACAGACAAGGATATTAAAACAGTATTCTAAGTCGGGTGTGGTGGCACACACCTGTAATCCCAGAACTCGGGAGGCTGAGGTAGGAGTATCACTGTGCGTTCAAGGCCAGCCTGGGCTACGTAGTGAGTTCCAGGTCAGTCTCAACTACATAGTGAGACCCTGTCTCAAAACACCAAACCAAAACAACAACAACAACAACAACAACAACAAGAAAACAGTATTCTATGTGTTATGAAAGTTTGGTTTAGACAAAGAA